CTGTTCGAGATATATATTCTACAGACACGGTTAGCCCAGTCCGATAAATTATTCAACGCTCTCTCGATGTTCCTTTGTCCATTTTATGGACCTTTGCGAATTAAAACGTCACCGATATTTTAGTCTTTTAGGTTATCCAAAATCGAAATATTCGAGACATGATTGATGAATCCATACTGTCGAATGAAACAAATCGACAATTTTTTTTTTCAATTCAATCGATTAATCCAGTTGTCTCCAAATTCTTGTGGGTCGGAATTCGCATTTCTTTCCTCTGATAACACGTACATCCATCAGAAACGTTGAAACGCACGCGACAAGCTTAGGAATTTCAGCGACAACGACGGATGATCCAGCAGATCCCTTTGCCAAATATACACAGTAAAACGAGCACGAAAACTCGAGTTATACAAGAAATGCATTACGTGGAGGGAACGCGTTGAATAAACGTTCCAGTGTTCAGCCGAAGGCCTCCTCGTTATTGGAGTGCGTGCTATAAATCTCTGTTGGTAATAAAGCCTGGGATTGACGTAATAAGCTCTCGGCGGTACGATCGTATTCTGCGTGGCCGATCTTTCATTAACGAGGTCAACTTTCCCGTCTTTTCTTCGAAACGCTGCATAAGCACGCGTCCCTCTCTTTCTATCGTTCATTTTCTACTTTCTTCTCCGTTCGCTGACGTCGACCGTTAAGCAATAAAGCCATGCGATACGAAAGTTTAGAGAGAAAAGATCGAAAGAGAGAGGACGATTTCGTTTGTTCCCTTCATCGACGCCAGTTTCTTCGCGATGTGGGCTGAAAGTTCAAGAAGTAACCCTCGCAAAGCCGCCGACTTACTTTTAACAAGCCGACCTGGCCTCTCTTTCCCGCACCAAGTCCCAGAAGAGACCACTGCACCCACGAGTGTCGGCTAATTGGATTCTGTTATCGCCCGTGTTCTTTTGCTTTCCGGAAAATATGCTTTTCTGGGGCCAACGTGACGCCGCCAACGGTGTCAACCTACGTTTCCGGCTTTCCACGAGATAAGTCACGTTTTCGAGGCGTCTGAATAATCTGATCGCACTCTGTGGTCTAGCTTCGACACCGCTGTCGAAATAGTGGAAATAGTCGAATTTAGTAGGACGCGTAGAAACGGGAGTGGAAATTGCATGAAGTATGACGTTCGTAAAAGTTGTAACGCTTTCACGATAAATTCCCATTTATCTATCTCGTCGATCGCGAATTGCAAAAAAGAATATTTTAAACTGATAAAAGTTATCTGTATATTTAAAGAAAATTCTCTCGCTGTCACTCGTTGATCGAAAAACTGTCGGCTATCAACTCGCTGCCGTTTCTACCGCAACCAAAAAGCTGGTTATCCCACGAGACTTAACCCAGAACGGATCCTAACGCGAGATTTCCATTTTCTAGTCATAAATCAAAATGTCGTCGATTCGATCGCGGAGCAGCCCACTTTTTCGAACCGAACACAACCCTTCTCCTTCCCGTCCTGAACCTTTCATGGACTGGGCTTCTCGTTCACCGTTAAGTAAATAACGATCGTTTCGAGAAAGTCTGGCGTTAATGGTGACTTCACAAAGCCTGTGTCTTAGAAAAGTTTTTCGCTCTACGCTTTTCTGCGTTCCTTTTCTGCTTTCTCATCGTGTTCCTTAAACATCTGGCTGTTTTCTCGGCCGCAGGCTACAGCGAAAACTTGGCCAATTACGGCGAATTAAACTTCTTGAAAATTTATAAGAGGGTGAGGTTTGACACACCGACGAGGAAATGAAACAAAGTCAACGCTCTTTCGGTATTGATTCGTTCGTTATCATGAATATTGTTCGTATTAATATCGATAATACGATTTGATAAAGTATACATTTCAGAAACATTAACTTCGATTTGTCCTGTCGTGATTTAAATTACAAATCTCGTGTTTCGAGGCAATTCAGTGAACATACGTAAATTTACAAAATTAATTTATTTAATTGTATCGACGATACGGCTGTTGATCGAAGAGAGACATTAAATTCCATTGAAATTGATACGAATCGACGTCCAATAGGAATAGAAAATTTGGACTAATTAAATTTCGCTGGAAAAATGATTCGACGAATTTAAGGTTATGTCGAAAGGAAAATACGACGCAACGTTCCTAGGACAAAATATCGAAAGTCGAAGGATCAATGACAGCGACGCTTTCATGAACACCCTTCAAAACCGATCGAGCTTCCTCTGCCAAGGATCCCAGGAAAGGGAAATGGGAAGATCGAATGGGGGACGAAGGGGTGAAGGTTCAGGCTATTTCAGGAAGCCGTAGTGATTACGCTTCGGTCGCCAATGAGAGCTTATCTCGTCGCCTTGTAAAGAACCGTCTATATATACGTAGCCATTACTGGTCGCATGGTGCAGCAACCCCTTCAACCCTCTCGCCCACTCTGTCGGACCAAACCCCGTCAACCGCCGGTAAGTTATTATGTCGTGAAAATAAGGAGAAAATTGGAAAGCGGTTTAACCGTGAAAGTGGTGTCAATTACTGTCTCGCTATCGGCTAAGGTACCTACCCATCTTCAAGACGCTTTAAACAACCGATCAAAAGACACGTGGCTTCGACTAGTTCTTCGTCGAGCTTCTAACGTGTCAATTTCCGAACAAAATTAATGACTACACTCTCGCTACGTTATAATGGATGAAGGACAGAATGTCAGAATAGTCGGATATTTAGGATTTTTAATAGAATTTATTGAACATTTCATACTAGTTGTGTAGCGTAACCGACGTTACGAGTTATAAATAATTACGCGTACTCTAATCGAGAGAGACGAATAACGTCTAACTGGTCTCACCCGTCTCTACTGAAAACAAAGTTTACTTCTCTCCGAGTTTATCTGCCGTCTCTAAAATTATAATGATCATAATATTCGTATCGTTGACGAAGGATAGAGACAAACTGTCGGAAGAGCAAACTTTTCAGAATATGGTGTTTGCGATATTCGAAAATAATAATATTCAGCGAGTTGATAAATTGCGAAAAGCTCTATCAAAGTTTCAGTAACACACTGCATCATGGAACCGACGTTTCGAGTTATAAATAACGGTGCACGTTCGTCGACGAGAAGACTAATATCTGACTAGTATCGTTCTACTCTCCCGAAATTGAACTTCGGTTATCTCTCTGTGCTTCGTTAAATTATAAGCGCAAAGTTGATTCGCGTTTTGTATCGTTAATATCGATGCTAGAAAAGAAGATGCTAATAAAACCTAGGAATGTTTCTCTTAATCGCTCAATCGTGTCACGGTGCCGATCAGTCGTGATGCCCGTATCGTTCAACGTATCGAACACTGTCGAACAACCGATTCACGGCGACATCGAAGTTCCAGTAATAAAAAGACACACCGACGGTTTATTAGAATGAAGGAGAGCATTGATTGGCTCGATTACACGCGAGCTCGAGGCGACGATGATGCTCACAGGAAAAGGGAAATCATCGATCGAGTCTTTTATCCGTTTTTCATTCAGCCTCGTCGTCGAACTTTGCTCCAACAGAGGAAACTGGAGGGAATTCCAGTTGAAGCGTCGACGGTGATCGACGATCAACAATAATTCGCTTTTTGGCAAAGCCGAATGGACGGAAATACGGACGAAAGTGCTGAGAATAATGAAAGGATCGAGGTCCACCGCTGGGAACAAAGCAATCCCAAAAATGTCCGCGCGCAATATCGGCACCTGTTGTCCCGCGAAATAACCGAGCGTTATTCGTAAAGATTGCGTCTTTCGTGCACAATCGCGGTCCGAATCTGATTGTTCGACGACTTTAATCACTGCTTTAGAAATTTCTGACTCGTCGAAAGTCGTGTTCGTTATCCAGAAATAACTGTACGTTTAACGTTCGATGCAAGGGGCGATAACGATTTTTGTTTCGGCTAGATTCAATGTTGATAATCTTGCATTGTGACGATTACGTAGTCAAGTTGTTCAAGGCGTTTTTGTAACACATTGTGTCGGTGGATCGTAAAGTAAAACGTTTAACTCGTAGAAATTTCACACGTAGACGTTCAAAAAGCGAACTTATTGTTTGAGCCGCAAACCACAGTTTCGCGTTGGCACGTGAACGTAAACGTTGACCCCAAAAAACACCCGGAAAAAGGAAAAAAATACGTTCGATGGTAGACAGAAACGTTGCCGAAAACGCTACAAAAACTTTCGAGAGAAAGAGCGCTTTTTTCCAGGAACACGCAACCGTGCCATTTTCGCATTCAAATGTATACGTGGCCTAAACTTTAATTACGAAATGAGAACTGGGTTAATCACTCGCGATTCAGCCAACTTTTAGAGTGCATTTTTCTCGCTGTCAAGTTTCAAACGTTCAACGACACCTGTTCATTTTCTTTATCCCCGAAATAACGGTCGAATACAAATCACGCCACCGATCAACAATTTCATACTCAACGATAGATACGTTGTTTTTATGACCGATAAATAAACGAATGATTTTTAAACGCGCACCAATGGAAATTTGTAACGACGCGGGCGCGGCGGGCAAAGTTTAACGAACCACATCGTGCCATGTTGTTTCCGTCGTTTTCGTTATTTATCGCTCCAATTTATGGCTCTGCTCAAGCTTTTGGAACCGTTCCGCTGGATTTACCGAGACACGCTGTATCTCCATTAAAACTTTATGATAAACACAAGGTCGATAATTCAGGCAGAATTTTGCAAACGCAACTATTGACGATATCGATCGTTGTCCTTACAGAACCGTTCAAATTCAATTGCATTACGAAATCAATTTTCCTTTAGGTCATTATATCGGTGGTACAATGTAACCATTACCTAGTCTCTGTGGGTTGAATTTCGAAAACCGTTTGTTTCGTTTTTTATTTATGTCTGCAGGTGGCATAGCTCGTTTCGGTTATTTATCGAGTAAGCTTATGAACTTCATAACCACGTGTGCACGCGAGTTATTAGATCGAGCGACCAAAGCTGTTTCAAGCTTATGATAAAAGATCGGTCGACTAACCTGTGGGTGTGCATGGTGTTCTTGCCGCCTCCACGAGGTCCTCGCGACTTCCGGGCGGTGCTTCCAGCATCGTTCCGCTGCCGGCGAATTTCTTTACGCATAGCAGGCTCAACGCTGAAATCAAAGTTTTTACCTCGTTAAAATTACACGACAATTTTCCTCATCGAATTCTATGGATATTCGAATGAACGATTCGAAAGATCGAGCAAATCGTTTGAACGAACAATTTTTTATCGAATAATTCAGCTATTTCAAGTTTTAACCTTCGGAAATTATCACGGTAATAAACGCGTCAAAGAACGATGCATCAATTAGTCAGCCTAAAAAATTGCATCCAACAGAGCTAGTTTGATCAATGCTTTGAAAAGAGTATTCAATCTTTCGTTAAGTGACAAAAACATGGCACGCTCAAGCTGTGCCGTCGTCGACATATTTTTCAAACCGCACTGTCCTTCATTCCCGTGCAATTTACTATCGTCCAAGGCAAAAGGAGAACACCGGTTATCACAGGATCCCGTCACTAACGCGCGAAGACGCGTTTTAATTAAATTTTCACGACCACAACGCCGTCAGGAATTCTCGCACATACGCGCGTACGCAAATACGCTTGTATTCGAAGCGGTTTACGCGCGTTACACTGTTTCATCTTTATGCTCGAGCTGCGAGCTGGAAAGAGAGTAGCTAGCAACAACGGGATGATAACGCTAGGAGAACGTCTTGCATGATTAATTTTGCAGCCACATCCGAAACATCAGGCGCTCGAAACTCTTTGTTTCATTTTTCCTGGCTCCTTCGTGACTGGAATGGTCGTTTATAAAGAGCAGCGACTCGTATGTCTGCTCTGGTGATTTTAAATATTTCGTAAACGTGTGCGATATCATTTTTTACGTTTGCATTTAAAACACGGATGTACATATTAATAATTATTCGTTAGCGCGTTACAGCGACGGAAGGTAAATAGGTCGGGTATAAATATCGTACAGAAATTCTGACACTCTCGTTGAAAGTGGATATCACCGAGCATTTTACACCGTTTATGCATTTCTCTGCGCAAACTTTCCGATTCTCCGAGACATCTATTTTCCGGGAACCAAAAATGTTTCCTTTATCATCCTCGACAAACCTTGGGCATTGTTAACGAGTTACTTCGCTGGAAAACTTTCCCTTTATCCTGCAGCCCCATTCCAAGCCTTTCAAAAGGATGGAACTACTCCTGAGGATACCTGAAAACGAGCCACAACGTGGAACAGCGCCACTTTCCATTATGCTACTCTACCGTCAAGGAAGAAAAAATTCTTCTTTTATCCCTTCAATCATCTCTAGTAGCTGTTTAACTATAAATAGAGAATTTCTCGAGCGCTCGCTGTCATCGTTTACTTGGTCCAGATGCCATTGACGGCTTTTCATGAAAGAGCAAAGTTTTAACGACGCAATTCCTCGAGGATCGTCGGTCGAAAATAAAGCGGAGAAAAAATTTGCACAGCTTGCGATCTTAAAAAGGTGTTGTCATTCTTCGTGTTCGCCTTGGCACGAATTTCTTCGCTTCCCGATAGAAAAATTCCGAGTGCGATTCGAAGGAGCTGGAAATACTATTCCATCCCGACTCTTCGACGTTTCGCGGTTAAATTTTCATCCTTTGACGATAGCCAGGAAGCGTCGTGGAATCGTTTACGAGCACCGAACTATTGCTTTGTTTCGTTCGATTTTCCGATGGCCTTTGACTTCTCCGTCGGTTTCTTCTTCCCGATTCTTTCCCTCTTCTCGATCCTATTGTGCCAGCTAGATCGAGCAGATAGCTTTTTACACGCCGTGGCCTTTCTAATCTTCCACTAGGAACGCCCGCTCCTTCCCGTCGCTCTTTCCCGTCGACGAGTTTGCGGATACTTTCAAAGCAAATTCGTCGGCCACACAATTCTTGATAAAATTGCGCCTTTCAGGCTCACGTCGAAGAAGAAGTTCGAATTGCATTTCAACCGGGTGCATTGTCGTGAAACTTGCCTCCGTTTCTCGTGCAATCCGACGAAATTGGATCACAACCGGGTGGAGAAAAATACTTTCTTCCTCGTTGTCAATCCTTTTCTTTCGTGACGCGAAACGTCGACAAACAGAATTCGTTCCTCCTTTGAAAAGTCCTTTGACATTATCGATAGTCGTTAGCCGAAGAAATTTACCGAATGAAAAAGCGACCGTGGCACCGCGGCAGCGACGATTTAAAGGCATTTTTCATATTTTAAATTATTAATTTTATTGGATGGGCTGGCATACGTAATTCGGACACACGGATCAGGAAAAATTCGATATTGCCGTTCGCGAGTTATTGAAAGTCTCGTTTAAAATGCAATATTGTACCGAACATCGGAGCATTGTAGCAAGTTCTTCGATTATTCAACGCATGGTAACGATCTGATTTCATTTTAATTTCAATCTGTTGGCGTTACAAACAAATACTCTGCCACTCACCCCGCTTCACGTCCCGCCACGTGTTCGTGATTTCGTCGGATCTTCTTAGCTCGTTTGGTGTTCACCAATATATTCTTCTCACATCGTTCTGACGACCAGCTATCTTCGAATCTGAAACAATACCAAATAATACATCGTTAGAAACGATTCCTGTGTTTTCGATAGTTGCTGCGTCGATATTGATTTCACTCGCGAACTTCTATTGTACCCGGTGATTACAATAATCTCTGTAGTCCATTGTTCTGTCCGTGGCAACGTAAACTGCGCTACTAAACTCGCAACGAAACTTCGTTGAAACGAGAAGCTACGGATTAAACTTTATCAGTGAAGGAAACTTCGTTTAAACAACGTCGATGCAAAGAGTCGAACAGTTGACGAGTCGAGTTGCCGAAATAATTGAACGAAAGTACCGAGATGACTAAAATCGAATAAGATAGCTAGGTTCTTTGAACGCGTTTAGAGTTGATTATTTATCGAAATAGAATTATTAGGATCGATCTGGCAACAGGAGATAACGCGTAGGAATTATAGGAAGCACGAACCCGGATATTGCGTGCTCGTTGCATCCAGGGAGCGATAAGGGTGATAGTGTCACTCGTCTAGCTAATTACTAGTTACCAACTATACGACTCTTGGGATCCGGCTCATGAATGAAGCGCGTGTGTACGTAACAGGGATGGACTACGTGTTCGGAGCTAGGAATCTCGATGTCTGCATAATGCAGTAATCGCTCAACTTTCGAAATGAATTTTGTTCTTACGGAAAAGGTCGTTTCAAACTCCTCTTTCGCTAAATAAAATTGTTCATTACGACACTTTTCCATTTACGTAGCACAATTTAAACTGCTGCTTTGTTCTACACGTATGCATATTCGGGAACGCATTATCCGACACGCGACAACTCGATCGTATAACATGCATGACCGTACGCGTCAGTTTTCATCGCGGAAGTTGACGCGTTAATCGACTTAAACTATTTGTCATTCATAATTATTCCAGTGTGTATTTTCCGTGATACAGGACCAGCATGCGTAACGTTTGATACTGACACAAATTACAGATAACCCCGAAAACCGCACACCAATAATTCCAATAGGAGAGCCACACGAAAATATCGTTCGCGTGATAGGTATCGGAAATAACAGCGACCTCGTTTGCTTTTGCGCCCAGAGAAACATTTCTAGATGACAGATTTGGCTCTCGTATTTTCTTTTATCGGTAAAAAGGTTCGAGCGCTTATCAAATTGTACGTAATAAATCATTTACCGCGGTAAAAGTAATAATAAAATATACATTTTCCGTACGACGAAAAATTGTACGTCGAACACGCGTCGAGCTTCGTTAGCTTCGATTCCATAGATAACGTCGTCTGTTCCAAATAGTTGAACGGTGGTTAATTCGATTCTAAATCCGATCGAAAACGAAAAGTTTGGTCGAAGACCGAATTCCCATTTCGATAGAGACTAACAATGTTCCGCTAACGCGTTCACATTGAATATAATTACATCTCAAACCGTGAACATTATCGAACGAAATTAAATTATCCATAATGAAGCATGCTACAAAAGCATTTCGAGGTTGTGCCTCGTAGGAAGCGACGAGTAATTTCAACGTGGTACATTTAAAGCTAAAATAACTGGCTGCAGATGTGCGAGTACCATTAAATTACAAATTAACTCTATATTGTTTCGTAGAAAAACAAATAGTTCTAGTTTCACTGCCGGAAAACACCAACTGTTTCGAGTTTCACAGCTTTCTCGGTGCTCTGACCACAATTTTTCCACTTTGATCGACGCGGCATCACCTCGAATCCGACGATCGGTAACCTGAGTAGTGACTTGTACAGTCTGGAGGAAACTCGATGAGTAGGTGCGAAAGTTTAGTTGAAGTGGACGATTGGTTTCTGACTGAAAAGAGCTTTCAGGTAGCAATTACCGGTTCACCTGACGGTGACCATTCGAGCGATAAGCGAAACTCCTGCCAGGCTTTCGCTGATGTACGAGTATCACGCGTCTGTTCTCGCGAATTAGCGAATACGCAGATAGCTGTATCATTATCTAACACCAGCATTTCCGTTTACCCGAATGATCACGAACGCGGAGTCAAGTAACGTTAACGAGGTAAAATCGTTCGATTATCGATATGGATCTCTCTGGTCCTCTATCCGTCGACCTCTGTGCTTCTAGTTCCCTGTGGTACAACTCTTCGTCGCGAGCTGTAAACGATTCGAAAATTCACCGCTAACATTGAAAATCAAGTAGATCGACAATTAATTGTCGTTTCGTTAGAAGATACGCGACAAGTTGTGAAATGCATTCAACTGGCAAGAATAGGGCACACATAGTTCAAAAATTGGACAAAGAGGGTATTTGAACGAGGTGAAAAAGTTGAGATTAAGAAGAGGGCCAAACATCCCTTATCTTGTAACAGTGCCAAGAGAGACTGGGGATGGAAGATGGAACGAGGAGCACATTAAGAGATAAAAGATTCGTCGTCATGGAATTTACGACCAATTTCGTTCCGGAACACTATTCGTGGGTGTTTGCAGCGAATTCAAAGGTTCTCTCGTTTCGTTCGACACGAGTCTTTTGAAAGATATTCGGAATTAATCAACACGACCAATTAAGTTGCGCGTTCATTCGTCAGAGTTTCAACAACGACGTACGCTCCAATTTGATCTAGCGATAGAAAAATATGAAATTTCGAAATAAAGTTCGAACGGAATAACCGTTTAATATAAATATTACCGGGTAAATTGGGCTTTTAGTCAAACGTGTCGAACGTTCGTCCGACTAACTCGCTTGTATCGAACGAATTAAACTCGATTTAACAGGCGCGAGATAAAAGTTACGGGACACTAGATTTTATTATTCCGGTTTGCCGTTGACGTTTCGCACAACCGCGTGCTTACATTTCTTATTTGCTCTTGCGTGGTCTACAGTGCATACACCTCGCAACATGTGTCCACACATGCACACGTGTCCGGGATAGCATTATGCATGTCACACGTGTACTGTACGGTAATGCAATGACCGTACGGATGATCGATCGCTGAAAGATGCAAAATATTTCGCATGCCATTGAAACCTTTATAAATCACGCGTCTTCGAGGATTTTTCAAAGTCTTGTTCGCGTTACGCTCTCATGTTTAATTCAACCTGATCTATTCTTCAGTCATTTTAGATGTAAATTGTTTACTCGAAGGTTACGATGTCGAACAAGCGGAACTAAAACCACTCCAGATTTCGAGCGACAAGTTCGCTCGGTCGTAAATACAAAAACTAGAACGAGAACAGCCGTTCGAAATTTGAAAGTAGAACAAGACATAGGTACATAGATGTTCTAGGTTTAGAAGCAGTACACGATGCAAATCAGCGTATGCATGTACGTTAGTTCCACCAGGAATAGAAGCTTTAATACAAAAGTTGATCAACGGGCAGACACATGTTTACCGTGTCGGATGAATTTTGCTATATAAATAGAGTCGAACTAGAGTTATGCAGCGTATACGAACAGATGATTGTTTGTTTCGACCTAACATGCGTGTTTGAGTGGTCGGAGCGCAAGTGCCATGTGTATGCAGGTCAGATGTCCCTTGCATTTTGCAATCCACGATGTCGTCGGATTACAGGAACCAACTTCGCGCATGCAACTTTCGATGCATTTTAATGTTCCGTCAAATTTTATCCGCGAAAAAACAAAGAATATTATAAACATTGTAATTGTAGTTAGGTCAAACTTAATCCTCTTTCTCCCGTAAAGAGTCATCTTTTTTTCCCTTTTCATATTCTTTTCCCTTTTCCTCGTTCGTCGGTATAGATACGTTTACAAATATCCGCTCAACCTCCTTCGTTTTCCATTCTTCGCGTGTCTTTTCTTGCTTTTGCGAAGATTGCTCTTATATCGGGATGCTGCAGTCCGTACACACCTGTGTGTCGTTCCGCGCGAAAAAGGACGAGTTCGTAAGCCGGAATACAGGCAAGAATATCAAGCAGGCAGCACTTACGCTTCAACGATCTCGTAACCTTATCGTCGCGTTGCACTCGACATATTTCTCTTCGTCTGTCCTCTCCGTTTACGTACACCTTCGTTATCCTTTTCAATGTTCGCCGATTTCTCGAGTTTTAAACACTTTGATCGATAATCTTGTACGCAGAGAAATAAATTGTAGAGAAAAGAAGGAGGAAAGAGGTAATTTCCTTGGGTCACGAGCCGTCGCAAAAGTTTGCGAAACGGCCCCTAGCTATCCGGATGCAAATGAAATTTTGCAAGCTCGTGGTCGCCGAAGCAGACGTTTATTAAAGTTCGAGGCACGCTGCATACGAGGAAAAGAATAACCCGGTGAACCGCGACTCGATTGAATACATTTCCCAGAATAATTCACCAGAGTTAACCGAGTACCGAAACGTGGTTAGTTAAGTACTTATTTCTATTTTTATAATATCCTTTTAACTAATTAATTCTTGATTGTTCAAGAAGCGAAAAACAGCGTTAAATTTATCATTGAAACAGAGAGAGAAACGAACAGAATGTTCGTAATTTAATTAAAACGGATTTAGAAGGAAGAAATTTAATGTAACGAACGGTAACGACGCTTTACATTTTCCTCAACAATTTCGCAGAAGGTAATTCTACAAAGGAAGCGTCGACTATCACCGTAACCGGTATATCTTGTCGGATAATTCATCACGGATACTATAGACCTTCCTGTTTTCCAAGCAAAGCGGCAATTAAACGCGTGTTCTGACAATTAACCGGTGCTTGGCGATTATCTACGAGTTCGAACCGATACGAGAATAGAAACAGAAGTAGTTAATCTTTTGGAATTCGATCATTCGATAAATGACTAATTACGAGGAACATAATTCAACGATCAGTTAATTCTCTGTAATTGATCGTTGGCCATTGATAATGAGCTTGGATGTTTCAACGGTTCTGCTTCTATTCAATTAACGCAAATTAAACGATCTCGTTCGATGCTAACCGAATTAACTTGGCTTATTCGAACAAGAAGTAAAAATATTTAAAAAAGTAATCGCTTTCTTTTGTTCGCGTTAATCGAACAATCGACCAAAGAAAAGAGCAAATAAAATATTTAAGAGCGTGATTTAA